ATAATTTATATACATTTACTTTAGAAACATTAAAGCCTTAAATAAATTAGTTTATAAATTTATTTTCCATAAAATTTTACTTAATTCCCCAATAGTTAAAAAAGGTCTATGCAATAGTATCATTCCTTAAATTTTGCCTAGTTTTGAGGACCATTTTTTTTTTTTAAATATTGATAATTTTTCCAACTCAATAAAGGAATAGGGATTTTTCATTTTTCTTGAACTTTTCAACACAAGTTTACACGTGGCAAGACTTTATAACTAAGCATATTTTATTGTGCAAAAGTTTAAAAAATTGGTTTTTAATAAGGCATGCCGTTTCCGTTTTGGGTTATGATTATGAAAAAAAATTGTTTTTGCAGTTAATGTAGATAAGTTATCTGTATTTATTCCTAAAATGACGTCATTTTAGTATTGAAATATTAAAAAATTATAAATACAAAGACTATTATAATTCTGAAATAATTAAAATTACAAAAACACCATGATTTTTGTCCAAAACGATGTAGTATTGGGTTTTCTGCAGATAAATTATCAGCAGTAACTGCAGAAAAAGCGAACCCTATAATTATATGAATCGTTTTCAGTTTCTAATTTCTTTGACGAAGATATTATCTTCCCCACAAAAATGGAATCTGATTATTAATTACACATAGAGGTGGCAAAATGGGTCGACCCGCCCCGACCCGACTCGTCGCCAACCCGTCAAAAACGAGTTGGCCCGCTCCGCCCTGCATTTTGATATGGGTTGAAAATCCCAACCACCTCGTTTTGTGATGGGTTGGCAGGTCAACCCGCCTAAAAAATAAAATAAAATTAAAAATTAAAAATAAATTATTTTATTAATTTTATAATATTTCTTATTTTCATTTCACAATCCCTTTAGTATTTTTCTAATCTCAAACCTAAATGTATACTAATATTCAGTTAAATATTGTTTAGGAATTTATTTTTGCCTCAATATATGGATAATCTTTGTAATAAATAAAGTTTTTCTTCTTTATTTTTTCTAGGAGAGTACTAAGATAAAAAATATTTTATATCACAAAAGCTTAGTGATAATTAAAATACTACTTATTAGTTAAAAAAAAATTGACCCACGGGCCAACCCATCCCAATCCACCGCCAACCTGTTTTGACCCACAACTAAACGGGGTGGATTGAAATGGGTTGAAAAGTATAACCCAACCCGTCTCGTTTAGATAGGTTGATGCGTCAAATTTAACCCAAATTGCCACTTCTAATTACACATACCTGTCTCAAATATTTTCATTACACTAGCTTCCTTTCAACAAAATTTAGAATATGCCATATGTTGTTTAAAGATGTTACCATGCCTGCATTCAGGGAAGTGAGGTTCAATCAAAAGTGCCAGCAAGGTATGATGTAATTGAAACTTGCCCCAAGCAACCACACAATTTCCCTTTGTCATAGTGGTGTCCAGTCTATTTTGAATCGAAAGTACTAGCTCTATGGTACCAACTACCAAGTGAAGAATGACTCGTGTAGAATTGTACTGATTTTTTTTTTCCCACCCCAGTGGTTGAAGTTAATGTTGGGAACTTAAGTATACGAAGTTAAATCTCACATTGATTATAAATGAACTAAATAAAGATTATATAGTAGTGGGCCCATAATTTTTTATAATAGGAGGCGAAAATAAAATTTTAAATTTATAAATATTATTAAGACAAATAAGAGATATTAACTAAGGTTCATTTTTTCTGCAGTAAAAGCAGATAAGTTATTTGCAGTTAGGGATGTAAATAGGCTAGGCTAGTTAGGCTTTGTCTTAAATAGACTAGGCCTGTGTAAAATACACTGAGTTTGGCCTGGCATGTGTAGGTCCCAAATTACAAGTCTGATCTGACTTATATTTAAAAAATAAAAGCCTTAGCCTGAGTCTATTAGCCTATTTAAGTCTATTAAATATTTAACAATTAAAAGAATAACAAAAATAATATTACTTTTTCATTCAAAATTATTAAAATAATAATTTTATTTATTTTATTTAAAATAAATAATACGATATAAGCCGCTCTGTAAGTTTATAGGCTCGACATGTACACAAAAAGCCTATGACCTGTTTTCTAAATAGATATTTTTAAAAGTCTAGGCCTGTTCTATTTTACTATTTATAATAGGCCAAACCTGGCCTTAATATAGGCTTGGCCACAGGCCTCTGTAGGCCGGACTAACTCATTTACACCCCTAAAACGACATCATTTTAGGGCAGAAATAAGGTATTATTATAATTTTAATTTATTTCAGGATTATAATAGTCTTTATCATTATAATTTTTTAATTTTCAACTCCAAAACGACGTCGTTTTGGAAATGAACAGAGATAACTTATCTGCATTCATTATAAAAACATTAAAGCCTATTAACTGCTATAAATATTTTTTTGGAGAGGGACTAGTTATTATTGCTAATAGCCTATTATTATTAAAATTTATTTTAATAAAAAAAATTAAAATGTAGAGAAGGGCGGCTGCCAATGCTCGATTCTCCCTCTATCCACTAATACATATAAGTAGAAGAATTCATAAATCTATCTTAACATTTTGAATTGAGACGTAATGTCGAATTCATTTATCGTAACAAATTGCTGCTTACTTATCTGATCTTCATTATTTATATTATCTTGGACTCTGACTTCCATTATCCTTTTACAGATTTCGGCTGTTACTGCAGTGTTTGACCTAAAAACTTATTCTATTCTATATTTAATATATAAAAAAAAAAAAACTTATTCTATTGTCATTGGTGCCAACCGGCCTAACTCATATATGTAAAAGCTAGGTGCCACCTTGTTCAGATGTAACACAGAATACCAAGCAAATATTTAATATTGAATATATAATCAGTTCATTAAAATGTTGGTATAATTTCTCATACAGGAAATCATTTAATTCAAGGCAATATAATCAACTCAAGGGCCTCATCAAGAAACCACTGCATTATGAGCCACTGCTGTCAAAGCCTTTAACACTGCATGAGTTGTCAATTGGGGTCAGTTTGTTTTAAACGAAGTAACGTATTTAGGCTAGTATTACCAGCGTAAGACCTATGACAAAACTGCTATTGGTCCAGTTTGGTATGTTCACACCTTTTCTAGGTACCAGAGTTTCAATTCCTTTATAACTCTCAATAATGCAATCCTAAATGGCTTAATTGGCTTTCCTTTGACTACCACCTTGCTAGAGCCAGGGCATGAACAGAGGAAGTTAGTAAATAGAAGAAGAAAGGGTGCACGAATAGGAAAAAGTGGAGAATGAATGGTAATTAATACTTCTCTTCCCACAGCATATAATTGATACACCACATGACTCAAAAACAAATCTAAGCTCATAATGACCAAACCCACTACAATTTTAAATTTATGTATCGTACTTAACATATCAGAGTGCTGAAAAAACCAATTATTCCACTGAAGCTTTGACAAGAAGTTTTTAGACCAGTGTTTCTCGTTATTTTGCAAGGACATGGTACTGGGGCATGCATATTACTTTTGTGGAGAAGATTATTGAAATATGTAACCTGAGAAGAATCCTCTCTTAGATATCCTTCGTAAGTTGCTGAAAATTGACAATGATAGTGTATCTGGGCCAGAGAATGTCTGTGTCCACCTTCAGGGATTCAAAGTGTTGCATTAATGGGACAGAAAAAATTACAGTGGCATGGGTTCAGAAATTGTCCTTTTTTTTTATTTTATAAAAATCATATAGTTCGAAGACATTATTATGATATTTTATGCTCACTCGTTGTAATGATTCTCATTACTCTTCTTTTAAGTGTTTATTTGGATGATATTTTTTTTTAAGCTGAAAGTGCTATAGAGATAGAGAGAGATAGTTTTGTTGAAATATGTGTTTTTAAGTAACTTTTAAATTAAATTTTTTATGTAATTACCAAACAACTTTTAATTTCTTTTTTTTAAACTTTAACTTATAAGTAGCTTTTAACTTAAAAAGAAGAGGATCCGAACAAGTTTTTCGCGGAATATATTTCTATCAAATAGTTCTGTCTCAATCTGTAACGAAATTTAACTAGAATTTCGTCAAAATTTGTGACCGAATTTAATTCGGTCGAAATTTTTAGACTAAAAATCAATGAAATTTTATCGAAAACTGTGTCCAAGAATTTTGATGAAAAATCAATGAATTTTCATCGAAAACTATTGTCTCAATTTTCGACGGAATACTTAGTTTGTCAATTTTTTTTGGAAATATAATATTAAAAATATAGTATTATAATGCACCTAATAAACAAATATAATAAAAGTAAATAACATATCAAAATTAAATCTCCTTAATCAATACAAATAAATGTACAAAAATCCATATGATATACTAATAAATAACAATATTAACAGTCTACCAAAAAAATAAATTAACAATATTAACAAAATTCATGCAGCTGGATAAATTTCTCTCTTTACATCTAAATTAATACCAATTTTTTTTATTGCACCCGATATACAAATTTAATCTAAGTAAACAACATATCAAAACAAAATCTACTTAATCAATACAATTAAAAGTACAGAAGTCCGTATACTAATCAAATACATCCAACAATATTAACAAAATTCATGCTGCTAGATGATCTTCATGATCATGGTCGTCACCTTGGTCTTGAGACGAGAGCTGAGTCTCATCATCATCCTCGGTATCTAACAATGTTGCAGGAATCCTGTTTATAATCTTCTCCATTTGTTCCATTTGCCTATGCATTATTGAAATGAGAGTATCCTGTTGTGCAACTGTACCCCGCACCAATGACAGGTCACTCTTTTGTTGTGTGTGTTTATCCTGCATCAATGGCATTTCACTTTCTTGCTGTGCAACCATACCCTGTAGCTACGTAACCAATTTGCGCATCCTGTCGTGCTGTTGATAGGACACTCTAGGTTGTGGCCTACTGAAGAACCGAGATTGCTTGTATGCTCATGCCGATGTACCTAAACCGTATATTCGTCCTTTACGGTTAACCCGACTAACCGCCTACATTGCTAGCATCCTCTCCTGGAGTGACTTGACTATATTTCTCTTTCATTCTGATAAATTCATCCTACAATTTACATAGAAAGTATGTGATGTGTTAAAGTTAAGCATATTAAAACTAATCATCTTTCGAAGTATATAAATATTGTAAAAATCAATAATATTCACTATTGCCTTGGACTTGTCATTTTCCATATCTCACAGTTATCTTTGCGTCTGTGTGTATGCTTGTACATCGCCCAATCCAAAGCGGATGGATTTGTGACCCATTTGCTTGCTGTGTCATATGAAACATAAAACAATAAGTATATATTATGCTAATTATAAAAGAACGCTTATCATTTTAATTACAAACAAGCATACACAATTATAAGTATTCTTACCAGCCGCCTTGCATTCTCAGTTTATGGAATTACACCTCCAAAATGTGAAGGTCCATCATATGTGGACATGTTCCTCTTATTTATTTCTGCTAATTTTTTCCATTTCTTATTATTAGTCCAATGTTCCTTCAAAGCATCATGTACATCTGAAGACATCCAAGAGGTATTGCCCTTTCAATTTCTAAGAAAATGTATGTGATTTTTAATTATATCAGTGGCTTTGGTCTTGAATGCCTCATCGAAATGATTATGGTCCTCTAGCAAGTATTTATATTTTTCTTGCAATAATAAACATGAAAAAACTTGTAAATATGTAAACATTAATATGGTCAAGTTTGAAAGGTAATATTACCATCAATTCGTTGTACTAGTTCTGCTTGACGACATCTGGCACAACCCTATAATTAGGCCATGCATTGTCAGAGTTGCACATGATAATTTTAGATATATCGCGCACTACCTTCCATTGTTCAAAGCTAAAATACATTGTCATATGATTATATTGACCAATACATTTAAAATATTATTAACACTTTTATCATGATGTATTGCAAAAATATCACAACTAGCATTAAGGATTGTGTTACTTACTTGCCTCCATCGATGTTGGGTCGTACCTAGGTGAGATTAGCATTTGTGTTAGGGTTTTTTTGTTTAATTACAAAAAATTATATTGCTGCAACATATCGTGGTGTGGTGTCGCATAATTTTTAACGACTAGGCTTTTAAGAGTTCAAATTGTACTGAAAATTAAATTAGATTGAACTACTGTTTTGGAAAACAAGTAATGCAAACCTTGAAGTGCCATTTTGTTCAATAGTTCGTCACTATTCAACTACAAGGAAAAGGAAATTCATTAAGGTTTTGTTTGGGAGTTGGTTTTAGCAAGTCCTTCTCTTGTTTGTGAGTTTACAAAAATTAGGGGAAGAAATTGGGGATTTTTACTAAACTCTTCAAAATATCCTTCTTCTTAAAATCAAAGTTCCCCCAATCTGGGGGGTTTGAGGGAAAAAAATATTAAAAATTACTTATCTACCCTTAGTATTAAAATATGAAAACTATATAAATGTGAATTTTTTAAATGTGACATTATTAGAAAAGTCTTAAATATTGACAGATATTATCGATGAAAAATATTACGTCAAAAATAGTGATAAAATTTTTTATGAAAATCATATACGTGAAATTTTTTACATCAAAACTAAACACAAAAATAGATACAAAACCAGATTCTGCCATAATCACTAACATAAATTTTTTAAGGAAAAAAAATCAAGTCAAAATTATTGATGGAATCTAAATTCTGTCAAAACTTTTCACGAAAAGAAAAGATTTTCGTCCAAAATTTTGACGAAACACATTTCCATTGAAATTTTTTGACGTAAAAAAATTACGCCAAAATTTTTTATGGAAAACATTTCCATCAAAAAAAATTTTATCAAAATTTGGGACTAAAAACATGTTTGTAAAAAATTTTGTCAGAAATTTTTTTTTGTCAAAATTCTTTACGAAATCTAAATTTCGTCAAAATATTTCACAAAAAAAAAATATTAATCGAATTTTTTGACAAAAAATATTTTCATCAAAATTTTCAGCGAAACACATTTCCATTGAAATTTTTTGACGGAAATAAATTTTCATCAAAATTCTTTACAGAATTTATATTCCGTCAAAATTTTTGACGAAACACATTTCCATCGAAAATTTTCGATGAAAAATGTTTCCGTCAAGTTTTTTTGATAAAAAAACATTTTCATCAAAATTTTCAACGGAACTCATTTCTGTCAAAAAATTTCGACATAAAAATTTTGTCGACAAATATTTCGATCAAAAATTTTTACGGAAAAAATATTCGGTTAAAATTCTTTATAGAATCTAAATTTCATCTAAAGTTTCGAATGAAACATTTCCCTAAAAAATTTTGACAAAACAATTTCAGTAGAAATTTTTGTCAAATCTCATTTCCATTGAAATCTTGAACGGAAAATATTCCGTCAAAATTTTTAACGAAATTCTTTTTTCATTTAAACAATTTGATGATGGAAATCATTTTCGTCAAGACTTTTGACGAAAACTAAATTTTGATAGAAAATTTATTTTTGTAAAAATATTATTGGAGAAAAAATATCGTCACTTTTTGACGAAAATAAAATTTTGTGATGAAATTTTCGTCGTTTGTAACGTAAAAATTTCGTCGAAAATATGATTTTTTTTAGTATTGTGAAAAGTACATAAATAATTTTGTTAAAATTTTTGATTTTAATTTAATTTTTAAATTATAATAATTTTATTAATTTTAAAAATGGGGTAAAATGGTAAAATGTTTCATCAACCCTCTATTTTTTTTTCTTATCATTTTTTTAATTCCCAATCAAGAAAAGAAAATACCTTTCAATTTCCTTCCTTTCCTTTCCCTCCCTCCGGTCCCCTTCTTTTCTTTCTCTTCCAAACAAAGCCTAAAGTAATGGCAGGCATGTGAAGAGTTATAGATTGATATTTGTTTATACATACTGAAGTAATTGCTTTGCATAATTCTGTACTAACTACTTAAGATAAGTGTAAAGAACCTTGGGATACACTACCCCAAAAGCTAGCTCAAAGAGTGGGAGTGCCTAAGGCCTTATAAACTCCACATTAGTTGCACATACAACTAATGTAGGACTATATATCTCAACACGCCCCCTCACACGAGAGCCCATTGGGCTTGAAGAGTGGACAATGCAACAGGCTCATCCTACCTGTGCTAAGAAACGCCACAAGAGAAAGTGGGGGGCGGCGAGGCTCTGATACCATGTAAAGAACCTTGGAATACACCACCCCAAAAGCTAGCTCAGAATCAAAGGTGAGTAAACAATTAAGGGTAGTGACAAGTTTTGATACAGAAATCAGATTGACATGAAATTGTGGAATATATAGTGTATCATGAAGAATTAAATTGGGTGTTAAACGAATGGAGCCTGAGTAATAAGCATAGACTTGGGAACCACTTGGGAGAATTACTGATAAAGGAGCAATGGTATGAATTGAAGAAAAATCAGAAATGGAATGTGCAATGTGATATGTTGCACCTGTGTCTACAATCCATTGAGTATTTGGGCTACCTGATTTTTCTTTTGTTTCTGTTGCGTTTATACTGGAAACCTGGGCCATGTTGCTCACATGATTTGTTGCAGGTGCACTAAGAAGACCAGTGGAGGGAGACTTTTGTAAAAGCTCCATCAATTGTTGATATTCACTTCTGGTCATGTGCATGTAAGATTCTGAATTCGAGGCAACTGAAACATCTTGATTGAAATTCTGAGGATCTGTGCTTGCAGCATTTGTATTGGAGATCCTATTATTATTGCGGTAACCTGGTGGAAATCCATGTAGTTGATAACATGTCTCAATTGTGTGGTTGTTTCTGCCACAGTGAGTGCATATGCGAGTAGTCTGAGATCTGCCACCAAAGTTTCGACCTCGTCCTCTTCCATTAAATCTTCCACCATAACTAGGACCTCCTCTCCGATTTGTGACATTGAAGACTGATGACTGGTTTGCATCAGTGACATGATTGTCCAATTTGAATTGCCTTTCTTGCTGAGAAACGAGTGAAAAGGATCGGTTGATATTAGGTAATGGACTTATTAACATGATCTGAGACCTTACAGATGCAAATTGATCATTTAACCTTCTCAAGAACCTTATAACTTGTTCTTGCTCACGATACTCTCTCATCCTAGCAATTGCTCCACATACACATGGAACAACACAGACACAATTAGGGAGAGGTTTGAGGTTGTCTAACTCATCCCATACTGTTTTGAGGTGTGTGTAATAATCAGTAACAGATCTGTCTCCTTGATTCAAGCGAAAAGTTTCTTCCATCAAATCTGAGATTCGAAACACATCACCTTGGGAAAATCGTTCTTGTAGATCTAGCCAGGCGTCGCGAGCATGTTCTATCCATATGATTGATTTCACTATGGATTCAGATATGGATCTTTGGATCCATGCCATCACCATCGTATCACATCGTTGCCAAGCAGCAAACGTAGGTTCGTCTTGATTTGGTGCAGGAATGCTGCCATCGATAAAACCTAGTTTATTTTTAGAAATCAGTGCTACCTTCATTCCTCGAGCCCATGAGTGATAGTTTTCACCATTTAAGGGTGGTGAAACCAAAACCAGTGTTGGACTCTCATTTGGATGCAAAAACAAAGGATGCATCATATCCCTTTGTTCCTTCTTTAAATCCCAAGAATATAGCCTTGCGAGCCCGAGGAGTGAATTTGGTTCGGTGAGCAAACAATGTTGAGGCATAGCACAAGCAACCAAACACTCGAAGATGTATCAGCAGTGGAGGCTTGTCATATAATCTCTGATATGGTGTTTGATTGGCTAGAAGAGGAGAACATAGCAGATTGATAACATAAGCAGCATGGAGAATGGCATAACTCCAGAATGAAAGTGGGAGATTGGCTTGAAATAGGAAGGCACGGGCTACATTTAGCAGATGTTGATGCTTGCGTTCAACTAAGCCATTTTGCTGTGGGGTCTCGACGCAACTAGTTTGATGAAGAATGCCCTTTTTCTTATAAAATTCATTCATAGCAAATTCTATTCCATTGTCACTGCGGATTGACTTAATGGAAGTGTTGAATTGTGTCTCAACAAAGGTAACAAAATCATGAATGTACTGACAAGCTTCACTTTTGCTTTTCATAAGAAATATCCAAGTAAAATGCGAGTAATCATCAACCACAGTAAGAAAGAAACAATGACCATTTATTGATGTAGTAGAAAATGGACCCCATATGTCTGTATGTATCAAATCAAACACTTTGGTGGTCTTAGTCTCACTGGAATTAAAAGGAAGCCTTCGCTGTTTTGCTAAGTGACATACATCACATGGTGCTACATGTGTAGATGGAATAAAAGGTAAAAACAAAGACATTTTCTGTAATACATTTTTCGAAAGATGTCCCAATCTTCTATGCCATAGGACAGATTCATCTGCATCGCTTGTTATATGGGCTAAAGCAAGCCAGCTGCCAATGGCATGCCAAACTGTCCTCTGCTCTTATGTCTTTGGGATATATTCAAGCCCAGGCAGATCACTCCATGTTCACATTTCGAACTGCAACTTCATTCACAATATTGCTGATTTATGTTGATGATGTGGTATTATCAGGTGACTGCATGACAGAGATCCAAAGGGTTAAAGATTTTCTTCATGCACATTTTCGTATTAAGGATCTTGGCAAGCTCCGTTATTTTCTTGGCTTAGAGGTTGCTCGTTCCAAGTCTGGAATTCTTCTAAACCAACAAAAATATGCTTTGGAATTACTGATAGATGCTGGACTCCTTGCTGCAAAACCTGTCTCCACTCCGATAGTTCCAACTTTATCTGCCACTCAAGTGCAGAGTCCTCCATTATCGGATCCTTCAATTTACCGTCGACTGATTGGTAGGCTATTATACTTAACTACAACTCGACCAGACATTGCATACGTTGTTCATCATCTGAGTCAATTTGTTGCTTCCCCATGTGATCATCACCTTACTGCTGCTCAACGAATTTTACGGTACCTGAAGAATGCTCCTGCTAATGGACTCTTCTATCCTTCACATGGCTCCTTGAACATAAGAGCCTTTGCTGATTCTGACTGGGCATGCTGTCCTCTTACTCGCAAATCTGTTACAGGCTTCTGCATCTTCATAGGAGATTCATTGGTAGCTTGGCGTTCGAAGAAACAGACCACTGTCTCCCGTTCCTCTTCAGAAGCAGAATACAGAGCTTTAGCTAGTCTCTCTTGCGAGTTGCAGTGGTTCCAATACCTCTTTCATGATCTTGGCTTACCATGGCACACTGCCTCTGTTCACTGTGACAACCGGTCCGCTATGTACCTTGCTCACAATGCAACATTCCATGAACGCTCCAAGCATATTGACATTGACTGTCATGGTACTCGTGACAAGATCCGTTCTGGCCTCCTTCGCCTTCTTCCTGTATCATCAGCTAATCAGGTCGCAGATATGTTTACCAAATCACTATCATCCTCACTTTTCATCTCTGGTGTGTCCAAGCTTGGCCTCGTAAACTTACTCAGTCCAGCTTGCGGGGGGCTCTTACCAAAGTCATACATATCTGACTCAAGCCCAGAGTTAATTGATCCAGGCCCAACTCATCAAGTTAACTTCTCCTTCTCACACATTATCAAGCCACGTGGAACCAATCATGATAGATGGAAGAATAACTGAATTAGTTAGTTTGTTAGTTAGTTATTATTCGATTGTAAACCTTTGAGTTGTAGCGTGTGATTATAAATAGTTCCCATGTAATCGTTTTACACAATGAATGAAAATGATTCATTTCTTTACCTCAAGAATAAGTACGCTAGTTAACCTGATAACTGATAAGTGGGAATCTAGACAAAAAAAAAAAAAAAGTCAAAAAGAAGGGCTCTGCCATTAGCAACACGATTGCTTTCGTCCATACACTTAGCAGAATCACTTATTGCAAGGGTAGATTATTTTTATCACTAATGAGCATGCATGCATCTCTAGTTACTTTTGTGCTTTATCTCATTCACTTTGGATGCGAATTATTCATGATGAAGTAACCCCCAAAATTCTTTATTAAGTAAATGAAGTCAACAACTCAAAATTACTTAATATTGTTTGTTTATAGATTAATATATTAAACATATGAATTGGGTGCACCGCAAGGAATTGCGTGGCAATTTTAGAAAGAAGCATTGAAGAATTAGTAGTTACTCGTGTCAGATGCAGCTACCGCATTGTGTGTTAGCATCTCGGTGGGTTGCAGCCGACACTCCAATTTTACCATTATAATGAAGCTCACAAGAACAGGTCAACCCACAATAACTAGAGTAATTGATTAAGCTAGTCTATAGTTGAAAACAATAGATCAATAATTTGTGAATTCGTACTATATATAATATGTCCGGCCGGGTGATCAAAAGTCAGACCGTCTTTTGAAATATCATCAAACTTGCGAATTAATTAAATTGGACCTACTCGTACTATCGTCGTCCACACATGTCAAATACACAAAACATTAACTAAACTCAATCTGCGAATCAATAAAGGAATTTGATTTTGACTAGAATGTGCAATATGTAGTATAAGTGTTGAGAACATAAGTTTCATTTTATATAAGAGAAACAATTTTTCTACACACACAAAAGAGGGGTGGGTCCCACCACTTTTTTTTTTCTCTTCTCTTACTTATGAGTCCCACTTGTAATTTTATTTCTATAACATAAGATAATTATTTTCCTACAACATAAGAAAAACATTTTCCACACACACACACACATATGTGGGTTTAGTGAGTGTACAGTGACTGGATGTAAAAATCGGTCTAGTGCACTATGTTCTCCCGCAAGAACACAGTTATAGTTAAATTATAACTATGTTTTCCCGGGAGAACATGTTGCTACTCACGGCAAGTGCACCGATCGTACAAGTAATATAATGTTTGAATAAGAGATCGTTCCCACGAGGATTACGGTTCAAGCACTAATTCACTATCGCGACTTAAGTTGGACAATCGAAATTGTATTTGGAAACAGAATTTGAATTGAAAAATTAAAATATTAAAACTAAGTAACCGCAAGAATAAGAATTTAAAGACGTGAAGTAACTCTCATGAGTATTACAAATAAAAGCAAGAAATTAAAGATGGAATTTACGAATATAAAAGAACGTAGCTAGGGTTTCGATTTCCTTTAATCCCTTTATTATGTTTGAAGTTCTTCTTTACGTTAATCATCCTTAGTATCAATCTAATCAATTCTTTCGCATGTTATTAGAGCTCAATCCCTTGTTACCCTAAAACCTTTACAATCTTGGAAGAACCCTAGTTCCCCGGTTATTCCCCAAGCATGTAAGCATTAAGTTCAAGAATCTTAAAGATTACGCAAACCCTATGTCTATCCCTAGAATCATAACGTTTACGATGAAGTTATCAGATATGGATCACACACCAACATCCCTATTGTCATGCATTTACCTAGGATCAATATATAAGATTCAAGCCTATATAAAGGAAAAAATAACATAGCGAATTGTTCAAAACATAATAAAAATCTTGAATTCCATCTAACCCTAACTACTTAAGAAACTAGCCAGACATAGCAAAATCAAGAATAAAAAACAATGTAAAAGCTCCCCCAAACTCCATAGGTGATTGGTGAATCTTCAATATCTCCAGTGAAAACTTGATGTTGATCCGTCTCCGCCGCTCACGAACATAAATCTGATATTTCTCCGCGTTCCTTCTGCCTCCAAGCACCTATTTAATTCTGGTCCCGAATGGTGTTTATATTGGCCAAGAGTTTGTATCCTAATAGAAAACTCGAATGGGCCTAAGTTGGATCTTTCGGGGTGCTTAAGCCCCCTAGGACGGTGATTGCAGAGTTCGCGTTGCACGCTTAAGCGCTCTTGAGGGCGCTTAAGCGCGCTCCTCGACTTGGGACTTTCTTCTGGCCCCGCGCTTAAGCCCTGAGTTGGGGGCTTAAGCGCCCAGAGGCAGTGGCTATTTGCATATTTTGGAATATTTTGGGGGCTTAAGCTCCACATTGGGGCTTAAGCTTTCTCTTCAACAACTTGATAAGATCTTCAAATCTTCTTGTTTCTGATCTTCATCTATCATCTCTTTTGGTTGTGATTTCAATCTTCAAATTTGCCTCCTTTTATCTTAAAATCCCTTTAAAATAGAAAATATATTATTTAATACAACAATCAGATAATGTTCATGATTTCATTGTTAAAACCCTAGTTTTTGACTTGTTCAACCTAATAAATTATATTAGTTTAGTCCATAAAACAAGATAAACTCAAGGTTTATCAGAACACTGAAGAACACCATTGTAATATTTATTGCACTAAGTTCTCGCGGGAGAACTTAGTGCACTGCACGGTCCAGTGAGTGAATTTTTAATTTTTCCTATATATATATATATATATATATATATATATATATATATGATCATTTTACACCAATATAAGTTACACTCTCAATCTTGATCGTTGATCCCACTTATATGGGGTTTACATTTTTGCAGCTATTGTACGTACACTTGTTGTTTCTGTACGTAAAACGGCTGCATAAATGATTTAACCTATATATATATATATATATATATATATATATATATATATATATATATGGGTTTAGTGAGTGTATAGTGACTGGATGTAAAAAATGGTCCAGTGCACTATGTTCTCCCGCGATAACACAATTATAGTTAAATTATAACTATGTTCTCCCGGGAGAACACCTGAAGAACACCATTGTAATATTTATTGCACTAAGTTTTCGTGGGAGAACTTAGTGCACTGAATGGTCCAGTGACTGAATTTTTAATTTTTCCTATATATATGTATATATATATATAAATATATATATATATAATATATATATATATATATATATATATATATATATATATATATATATACATGGGTAAACATTTCTACGGCCATTTAAATAAGGTTATCTACAAGTATTCTTTATAACTATATACTACCGGTAGTACATACTCATTGGCGGACCTATTTGGTTGCCAATGTGTGCAAGTGCACACATAAATTTGGTCATATATTTTTTTAGTAAAGAAGAGATATATTTTTTAATTAATTAGGAATGTTACTAGGGGAGCAAATTTAGTAGCTGCATTGTCAGGAATACAAGCACAAGTACTAAGAAAGAAACACATTTTATGTACTGCTTATGTTTTAGTGGTTTTATATCATTAAGTTGATTACTATTTTTTTATGTTAAGTCGAAGTTTTCTTTTCTTTTGTTGTTTGAGGGTTATATCCCTCATATTATATGAATGAAATTTTTTGTCATATTAATAAAAAGACAAGTTATATAATATTAAAGAAAGTGATATGGCACATTATTCAATGAATTGGTCTTGTCTTTTTAATGCATTTGAAACTTTGTTTCAAAAAAATTTTGAGGGCAAATCTCATCCGCTAAATATTCAGACTAAATATGCACACATAAATAAAAAAATTTAGGTCCACCAATATACATAGTTATATCATTAAAGTTAGTTTTTTTTCTTTCCTCAGTCACTTTTTTAATACATATTTAATTTCTTCAAAATGCAAATTTAGAAAATAGATTTAGAGTTTTTTTAATTTGTGTGTGTTCTTAAACTCACAAATTAAGAAATTAAAAATAAATATTAAATAATTAAAAGTAAAAGTATTTACCACCTTAAAATTAAATATAAAAAATTAATATTTTATTTTTTGAGTAATTAAGATAAGGAAAAGCGTATTCCGACACTTAAACTTTGGAATTGGATAGTTTGCAAAAAGGCACTTACCTTAAGGGGGTGTTTGGATCAAGTTTTTGGAGAGGATTATCGGTAATCCTTCTTTGGTAAATGTAATTACCACGTTTGGTAGAAGGAATAAATTACGATTCCCGGATATCCAAGGATTACCGGTAATTTGATCTATAAAGAAAAGTCACTATTCAGATTACCAAAAATAATATGGTAATTCGGAATACCAATCAGAATACCAAGTAAAGGGAAAACACAACAATAAATTTTGAGACAAAAATACTCCAATACACATAAAAATCTAGACCCAATCTATCAATTACAAAAGTAAAAATAGTTTGGGGTTATTTTTGTAAAATAACCTCATATTCCAAGTCATATTTCGTTCTAAACCAAATATGGAATCAGTAATTTTTACCCAGTATTCCCGGTAATATTTTGGCGAACCAAACACATCTTTCGTAAGATTCCAAGTAAACTCAATTTCTACTGAATTCCCGTTAATCATGATTCCCGGTCACCAAAAAATTTCTCCTGTACCAAACACACCCTAATATCTTAATTAATAGAGATTTAATAAGAGAACCTATTGTAATAATAATTAACTTTAAGAATTAATTAAGATGACTCTAAAGCTTATAATAGTTCTTTATAAGAGATAAATTATTCTACTTTTTTTTTCATGCTTAACTTATCTACCCCGTTAAATCAGAATTATTGAATTCATGTTTCGCATGAGATGATTTAATAAAGAGTAATAAATGTTGTTTTTATTCCTTAACGTTAATAAAACGCAATAATTTTATATGTAAGAAGAATGTATCAATATATAGTTAGAGAAATTGTTTTAAAGGCTAAACGCACGGGGAAAATATTTTCAGTATTTCATTGATACTGAAGAAGAATTATTTATTAAAATTGAAAGAAAAA